GGGGGTGAGGGTTGTTTTTTTTTTTTTTTTTTTCCCCCCCCCCCCCCCCCCCTTCAGTAGGAAAGTAGCACGAGCGACTCTCGAGTGCCAACGTGGATGGTAGGTTTGGTTTTCAAGTGCTGGTCTTCCCTTAACGGTGCCGTTAGTCTGTCGTTGTGCTGCATATCACTGGTACAAAAGGACTCCATTGCACCGTGTCAGTCTGGTGCTATTTGTAGTTTGGTGTAATAAATTTTAGTGATACTTTGCCTACAGAACGATTTTGAAATTTCGGAAGTGAAGCTCACAGCAAAAAGTGCTTAGAGTGAATTGGAATAGTCTGTTTTCTATTGCGTATTAATTGTTTAGGGAAGAAAACTTAAAATGTTTTGGAACAGCATTTTGTGATGTTTTGTGGGTGGCTGGCTTTTTTTTTTTTTCTTTTTTCTTATCTTAACAGCCAGGAAACCTTAAGACTGCTTCATGGCAGGTTGTTACTTGAGTTTCTTACAATGCTTGGCTAGAATGTTCCAATTGTTAGTAGTGCAGTTGTTTGGTGGGGTTTTGGGGGGTTTTTTTGGTTGTGTTTTTGGGATTTTTTTCAGTTGTAAGATTACGGTGTGTTTCTCCGGTTTGGGTGCTTAAATGAGTTGCTTTCTAAGTGTGGTCACATTCAGGTTGAAAACCCCAGATATTCTTAATTCAGTCACTTGTAGTTTAGCAGAACCATATTCACAATGCATTGTAGCTTTCAGCTACAGGAACTGGATAAGTGTGGCTAGAGTTAGAGCATGATAGGCTTAACAAATTAGGTCCCAGTACAGTGAGTCATTGGGAATTCAGTCTTTTGTTTACAGCATCTTGTAGGACTAATGTCTTTGTAGTAGTAATTCGTATTTACACTAAAATGACAAATAAATCTCTCTAGAAGTGTATTGCTCTGACTTTTTTGCCTTTATCAACAGCTTGTCCTGGTTGGTGATGGTGGTACTGGCAAAACAACATTTGTAAAACGTCATTTGACTGGTGAATTTGAAAAGAAGTATGTAGGTATGTCTGAAGAAATGTTTGAGATACATGTTACAATTAGAAGTGCAATTCATGACTTGCTAACTGCACTGCTTTTTTTCATCACTATAGCAACGCTGGGTGTTGAAGTTCATCCTCTGGTGTTCCATACTAACAGAGGCCCTATTAAATTTAATGTATGGGACACAGCTGGCCAAGAGAAATTTGGTGGCCTGCGAGATGGCTATTACATCCAAGGTAAGATGTGTGTATATGTGGGAATATTCTGTACCTTTTACAGCTCAATCCTTAATTCTATTCATGTTGGCCACTCTGAAGACTGTCAGTGTGGCTTGCAGTGATGAGCTGATTTCTGGGTCTTCAGACTCCTCATGTAGCTTCATGTAGCGATAATTTCCTTTGCTAGGCAGCTTGTGCTGATGTAGGAATATTCTAAGATTGTGTTTCAGTATGCTATTGCAGCCTTTGATATTAACAAAAAGTAATGGTGCACCTTAAATGACAAGATCTTGCTGATGGAATTCAGTGCTCAAGAGGTGAAAGTATGTGCTTCAGTTAGTACAAGCTTATATCTGTGTTAATGTACTGTGCTGAGGCAAGAACTTGGAACACACAAACTGTGAGATTTTTAGATACGATGATGTGGTACATCTCCATGCCAGAGTTTAGTTGTCTTTCTAAAGAACTACTGATAGTGTCCCTTAGTTCTGCTTGGTGAAGCTCTGTTCTGTGTGTACTTCAGTCACTTGCATATCTTTAAAATTTTGCAAGGGATTATTGGAGTTCAGCATTGTTGCTTTTCCTGTAGAAGTATCAGGATCGAGTCAAGCCCCCGTGTTCTTTGAAAAGCTGTTCTGGACAAGAGCATCCTGAGATGTGGACTACAAGCTCTCAACCTACCTGAAAGCTTCAGTGTCTGAGATTAGCTAAATAGGTGTTAACTGATTTCTGTCAAATATTTGTGTCAATCAAAGTGGACTTTTTTAATCCTTGCATATTCTCATACCATGCAACAGCATGTTACTCAGTGGGACAGTTGCACTGTTAAACTAGCTGGTGTTTAAGATTGGGCACTAAAGATGTGACATGGTCGTGGGCTGAGTTCTGTGGGCTTGTGCGTTGAACTTGTTAACAGAAAATGGCCTCTCGGAACTGTGAAGCTGAGAGGGAAAAGTTAATGCAGACACTTAACCCTAACGTGTGACTTCTATGGGTACCTCTTCTGTCTCCCATCTTACAAGCAAGTGCTTACTCTCCTGATGTAACTCTTGACTGTTCTTTTCTTGCAGCTCAGTGTGCCATCATAATGTTTGATGTAACATCAAGAGTTACTTACAAGAATGTACCTAACTGGCACAGAGATCTGGTACGAGTATGTGAAAACATCCCTATAGTGTTGTGTGGCAACAAAGTGGATATTAAGGACAGAAAAGTCAAGGCAAAATCCATTGTCTTCCACAGGAAGAAGAATCTCCAGGTATGTTCGCATGGGTTTGTAGGAATCAAATTTGTTGTGTCTGTTGATTGCAGTTGGGTTCTACACAGTAATTGAGTGTTCTGCCTTTGTCGCTACAGGCTGTAATACTTCAACTTTACATCCTATTGGCCGTTTGAACCTAACTTCAGGGAAAGGGGAAGTGATGATGTTAAAGATGATCATCACTGGTCTTTAGCAGAAGCTATGATAAGTTCTTAAAGAGCTTGTGTGCATTTGGCTTCCACTGCTCAGAATTTCATCAGATGACACAGAAGTGAGACTAAAGTAGGTCAAGTCATAGGAAAAAGATAGATGCACTGTTGCCTCCTGGAAGTTCCATCTGAGATCAGATTGGATCCCTTGCTTTTCAGTTATCAATTTCTGCCTATTTGCCTGAAACTGTATGCTTCTAGACACTTATAACTGTTTCTGAGAGCATAAACAGAAGTCATGCGGTCAAAAAGAATACTAAGGTAAAAGTAGAGTTGATTATGTACATGTTAATGTTGATATGCCCTAAATATCAGTTGGAGATGTCTGTCTTTTTTTTTTAAATAATGTATAATATGTACTTTTTTTTGCAGTATTATGACATTTCAGCTAAGAGTAACTACAACTTTGAGAAGCCTTTCCTCTGGCTTGCTAGAAAGCTAATTGGAGATCCTAACTTGGAGTTTGTTGCCATGCCTGCTCTTGCACCACCTGAAGTTGTTATGGACCCAGCACTGGCAGCACAGTATGAGCAAGACTTACAGGTAAGTGAGAAAGGGCACGAAGGCCAAGTGTTTGCCTAATAAATAGTGTTTGGACTCGTGGGGCAAATAAGCGAAGAACAGTTCTTAAGTGTAGCTTCTTTGTTCCAGATTGCTCAAACCACTGCACTGCCAGATGAAGATGATGACCTGTGAGGGATGAAGCTGGAGCCCAGCGTCAGAAGTCTAGTTTTATAGGCAACTGTCCTGTGATGTCAGTGGTGCAGCGTGTTTGCCACTTTATTATCTAGCTGAGCAGAACATGTGCTTAATCTTTGGGATGCTGAAAGAGATGAATGGGCTTCGGAGTGAATGTGGCAGTTAAAAAAAAAAACAAAAAACAAAAAACAAACAAAACAAAATGGAAAAAAAAACCAAAACAAAAAACTTCATATTTTGGACCTGCATATTTAGCTGTTTTTTGGACTGCAATTACTTCCCCTTTTGAGTTTCAAATATAAGACTGCTGCAGTCACATCAGAGTTAAGAGTGTTAAGTGGTAAATCTTGTTTCTGTCATTCCCATTCTTTTTTGTTTAGATAATAAAGTTGTATTTCAAGTATCTCTAAGCAAGTGAACTTTCATGCATTGTTAGGAAAACTCTTCAAAGTGTCTTCTGCTCTTCAATTGAGGCTAATACTTGGTTGTCTACTGCATTTCTTATTCTCTGTTCTCGTTTTCCTTCCTGCTTCTCATGTTATGCTCCTCTTGCTAAATCAGAGCTAACAGTTAACCCTCCCTTGATTTCCTGAAGCATATAAGTAAAGCACCTGAGGAAAGCTGAACTAACTGCCAGGTAAAACTAAAGCATTGAACACTTGACTGGTAAGTGCGACTGGATCAGTATTCCCATGCAAATGGGAATGTTTGTGGTCTGCAGGGTATCGTGAGAGAAAAGTGTGTAGTTCAGCTTGCATATGCTACCATTAGATACAGTCTCTCAACTCTCTAACTTTTAATATGTTTTACAATATGCCTTCACAGAGCTCTGTATTTTTAGTAGCCAGAAACAAATGGCATCTAGGTCTGTTAGGTGACTTAAAAGCTGTACCTTTGCATGGAACATCATTCAGTAGAGCTATAGCTGATTAAACAAACTCTCTCTAAGCATCTTAAAATTCACTAACTAGAAAACAGCTGTAGTTTGAGCTAAAAAGCTCTTGGCTACAAAACAGCATATTAACTACAACCACATTTATATAAATATCTAGACTTTACTGTAACTGCACCAAGTTCTTAATTTGAAACTAGCTTATTACAGCACAAATGGTGGAAAATGTCAACTTTTAACACTATCTTGTAGAGATTAATCTTGGTCAATATTAGTACTGCTAGTAAACAAAACTAAGTTTAAGATACCATTTTTCAGTAGTGTTTGAGTACATGAAGCCTTGAACTCTTCAGTTTTGTATTTTTGGTTTCTTAATAAAGTGGAGCATTTCATTTATTCCTTTTAACTTGCATGTTTGTGTACATAACTCCTCCTTGAATTTTTAACTATTCAACTATTCTGGTACATGGTTACAAAAACTGTGCACTATGATGATTACTTCTGCAATACTGTTGTAAAGGAATATTTTTTTTTTAAGTTGATGCAAGTTGGAGTTCTGTGGTTTTGGGTTTTTTTTTGTTATTGTTTTGTTTGGGGGTTATGGGGGGGGTGTGTGTTTTTGTTTTTAGCAAGTCAATGAAGCTGAGTTGTGGTATTTAGGACCTGAAACTCATTAATGAAAGTAAGGAATGTCATACACTTGGTTTGTAAAAAGACGAACTCCCACTTAACATTCCATTGAATCTTACTACATCATCTTGCTTTAACTTCATGTTGTAGGTTCTTGGCTGTAGTGTTTACTAATTTACCTGTGCATATCTTGGTTAATACTGCTAGCTTGACTATCTGCTGCTGCTTTACTAGGTGTGGTAGCTTTTTTTTGTCTTCAAGCTGTCTCTCTTCTGAAAATGCAGATTGGTTTTAGAAAACTTCAGTAGTCCTGCAGTATTGATATGCCTTAAGAAAAAACAGCAGCACTGAAGTTAGATTTGTATTGTTTCATAGTGTGTATATTGTTACCTTTACAACTCAGATGCTGCACGCAAGTACTAGCCTTAGTATGAGTTGCTACAAAACAGCTGAAAAGATTTATGAAAAGTGAAATAGTTGTTTAAGGACTAGTATAACTGCTATGAGCTTTGCTTTGTAGTTTTCAGTGTTACTTCCAAGTCCACAAAACCTCATCTCTGAAGTAGGCAGTAATACTAGTCCTGCTGTAAAATAATCTCTTCAACTTGAAATGTTTTGGGAGTGGAATTAAGTCCACTTGTTGCTGCAGCATTATACTTGGTTTGTCACATTTGGTTCCTGTTAATTGTTGATTATAAATAATGCAGGTAGCCTTAATTTGCATGTGCAGATTCCTCAGTTGAAGTTTGTTAACTGTAACACTTAAGTTTTTTACTAGTTGGGGGTAGGGAAAATAATTTTACCTATTTAGTCAAGTAATGAGGAAAATAAAACTTATGCTGTAAGAACCTCCGTACTAAATAGTCACATCAGTCTGTATTAGAGCTCTACCATTATTAGGACTAAATTGATGACTGAAGTCCTTCAATGCAATACCTACTTTGTTCTACTTGCTTGACTGCTGTATGGTTAGATTGATTGTAGGAGTTCTTTTGTTCCCTACACATTGTTTGAGTTTTCCAACACTAAGATCTCTGGTTTCAGATTGGTTTTTAGTAACTTGTCATTACAGACCATGCTCAGCTTTAAATTTTCAAAAGCGGGATGAGGTGCTGGGCCATTTACTGTTCCTAGTTTGTGATAAAGCTGTGAGTTGTTAAGTGTCCAAGCCTAGAGGGTTGTAGTAAAAGAGTAGTTGGAGAACTAGTGCATGTGTAAAATAGGTAAGGCAAAAGCATGAGTTTGAGAAACTGTCAGAGGAAATGTTTTGCTACTTCTCACTGAACCCTTAAATGAAGGAGTATTAAAGGCCTTCTTAGGAAAGCTAGGGTTGCCATTGGCTCTTTCAGGAGTTCAACAGAATCTTTTCTAGAAACATCAGAGAACACTACTCTGCAACAACTGGAAATCTGGATGCCAAGAAGGTTGAAGTCTGTCCTTCATGCCTGCAACTTACAGTACAACAAAATTTGTCTTTGTCTTTTTCCTTTAGAAATAGTTCTGTTGTGTTGCTAATACAGTCTTAGTCTAAACTAGTGGAGGAAACAGTGCTGAGGCAAATTATTCTGCCTTCACCTTCCTAAAACAGAAATACGCAGTTTGATTGAAGCCAGTTGTTTTCCTGACCTGAATTGGTAGTACTGGTCACTTCCTCTTGCCTGAGTTTTGGCAACAGTTAATTGGGCCCACTTAAACCAGGATTGATAGCAATCTCTTAAAAGTAACTGAAAAGCTAAATTTGCTGCTGCTTTGATCAGTTTGTTTTTACATGGGTGCGTTTATTTACAGGCTGGTTTTGTGTGAGTATGTGTTGATTTTTTTTTGCACTGAGCTGAAAAGTTTGCCATTAAAGAAGATCCTTATTTCTAGTGCAAGCTGCTCTATGAGCGTCCTATGAAGGAGTTCTTCCTTGCGTGTGTCCTGTAACACTTCTGGGCATCTCTGCAAGTGGCCAAAATCGGGAAACATTTTCAGCTGGAGACTTGTGTTGAGAGAATATGGATGACTATGCTGTCCTAGGCCAGTAGTTTTTTCAGACAACATCCAGGTCATGATACTGGAAACAGCTGTAGTGATTCTGAGTCTTCATTGCCCTCTGGCTTGTTGGTAACTGTCCTTGCGGTGCAAGCTATTGCTTTTCCAGCGAAGAGGGTAAAAAAAGACTGGTTCCTCTTTCTGGTTTAGCGCTCACTCAGCTGCCTGACAAATAATGTAAAGGTAAACTGGGAAGAATTTTGTGCTTGAAAGGAAGTCTTAATATGATAACCTGTTTAACAGACTTGGTGGGACTTACTGATGAGCCAAACCATAGCCTCTTTATATATCTACTTATTGAATGTTGAGACATAAGGCATGTTATTTATACCCAGGCTCTAGCACAGAGCCTGTATCTTCTCAGGTTACAGATTTGAGCATACAAGGCAAATGCTTTTCATTGGGTTATGTGGGTAGTTCTCTTCTAGTTCACAAAGTGAACAGATTGTTAAATGACACTTCACCAACATGCTGGTGTTCTACAAGCTATATCACTGAAATGCCCTGATGTTCATATTGGGGCACTAGTTCAGTATAGGAATAGGTTGTTTGATTTCTAGTTTATTTTGGGTAGTCAATTTCTGTCTTGCTGAGATCCTGGAATTCTGTCATTACAAGAGTCAGCTTCCCATATTTCTATTACTTGCTTGGAGGGGGAAGGGAATTGAAAATATGAGGACAAATTTCCCTAAATAATGTTATAAAACAATCTAATGTAACAGTAACAAAACGTTAATGTTTGATCCACTATCTCTGAAGTAATGGTTTTCATATATTTAATGTTAGTATTCAGAATTGAATTTCATCAGTATAGTTCCAGGTTACTAGGAGGCAATGAGCTTGGTTTACTCTCAGTTACCTGTTTCCATGTTGACACTTTATTAATAAGGACTGAAAAGGGCAGCTAAACCAAAAACTAAGTGTAAAATAGACAGTCATAAACAGGAAGCTCATAAGGTGGTTGTGATCAATAACATCCAAGAAGAAAACTAACCAGTGTCCTTCCTGTTACGATTGTGTGAGTGACAAAATCACTGATTAAACTCTGAAGCATCAGGATCTTTCTAGATCTAGCTATTTAAGTCTTCTGTACAAAGTGTTAAGCTAAAGATAGCAAATCAAGTAACTAAGATAAATGTTTCTTGTTTGCTTTGAATTTCTTTTTCAGGTAAGAGCTTGCATGAGCCAGTACTACAGTCTGATTTTCCAGTTATAATAGTAATTCCTATTGCTACTACTTTATAAGCTTTTTCACTGGACAAAACTGGTGGTAACTTGCTGATGACTCTTTTTTTTTTTTTTTCATCTTGGTGACTTTTGAAAATAGTGCTGGAGGGAAGCAATGTGTGTGTTGCTTATACTGAGAATATAAGAAAGTTAATTTTCATGTCAGGCTGTGTTGATGGATTATGCAATAAAAAAATTTGTTAAAGTTTTACATATCTCAAGTTGGGTTCACAGGGCAAGTATTTAGGGAAAGAGCTCAAGCCAAAGAGGTTTGTTCCATTTACAAATAAAAAGGTGGGTCGTAATAAACAGAAATCTGTTTGTGTTTTTTGGCATTATTTATTGCCTCTTGATTCTGCATCTAGTATTTTTATTTCTTATTTGTGTCTGGATCTTTTGTTTTACTTGAATACCTGTATTGATGTCTAGTTATAAAACTTATTTCAAACTATAGCAGGTAAGTACAGTAATTCTTCAAATATTATGTATAAAAGCTGTTTGAGACAAGTTATCTGCCAGTCAGGAGTGCAGAAGGTGTTGCCACATGTGTGAGGCTTAAACCAGATGGAAGACAGTAGTTCTCGGCTCACTAGCTGAACAAGTCTGATATAGCTTAAAAAAAAC